CACTAAATACGTAGAAATGCAAATTAGGAAAATTAACTTTCAGTGAAATTGTGCATTGGCTATTATAGAACATCTTTCTCATACAGACTGCAATAAAAAAGGCTAAAACTTCTACTGTTTACATATATAATAATGTTTATATTTGATCTAAATTCACACTGAAAATCTTCACAAGAAATCCATGATGCTTTAATTATTTGGTACAGGAAATTGCGTGGAGAAACATTTTCAACCATTTTGCTTAAAGCGCTTCTGAAGTCGTGTGCAATGACAGAAATATTACTAGAAGCCCACTTGTCCATTCTATAAGCCACTCCCTCGGTGGCGATACAGATGTGCACGTACGAAATATGCATATGGTACGCGTAATTCACAAGCGTACATCAGTATCACCACGGAGGGAGGGGTTTCAAAAATGGAACAATAAGCTTCTATTGCTCTTGTGACGCTGACTATTTTAAACTGTGCATAGGAGCGCATGTTGTTTAAGTTTTACTTTGCGTTTATTTCACAACTATAAATGTGAGGCGTATAATTTGTTGCTATTATTTTAGTAGAAAATTTTGTAGTGCTTTCGTTTATACGTTTATTTAATCGTCAACATTTCACTTCCTCGAATTTTTTCATGCATTGATATTCGGGTTAATGTTCGTGGCATATTATCGCTCTTTATATCGAGAAAATAACACAAGCTACAATTAGACTCGAATACTATGCATTTACAAATACCTCTGGATTAACAGAGTTCAAGTGTATAATTTTTTTATTGAGCTAGGAATAACTTGAAGTATTGCACTGGAATGTAGTATTTTCTTAACTCAATTCTTGCATTCCTTTAATTCTGGAAGCGTAAGATTCAAAATATGTTTTGTGAATGATCTGATTATACCTATTGTTAACACTAAAAGTTATTTAAAACTTAGGGAACGTACGGAATGAATTAAATATATTCGTTATGAATAAGATAAATTAATTCTGTTTGGAGAGTATTTCTTGTGCAAGCATTTAAGAGTGAATAGTTACTAATGTGAAATTTCACACGCTAAATGTGTAGCAACTTCACTTTGAATAAAACTGTGCATTGGCTGTTATTATAGATCCTCTTTTTCACATAGACTGCAGCAAAATATGCTAAGACTTCTACTATTATATATATATATAGTTCTGGTTATATTTAATCGAACATCACACTGAAAATTTTCACAAAAACCCACGATGCTTTCAAGAAATCCACGATTATTTTGTACACGAAATTGCGTGGCAAAATATCTTCAACCATCTTGCTTAACCCTCTGAGCGGCCAGAGTTTCCGCTAAGAAAGCACAAATTTCCCAAAACTAATATGAGAATAAATTATTTTTTGATTTTAACGTAAAAACTCTCCTGGTATTTCATACCTGGATTTGTTTTCTTTTGATATATTTCCTTAATTTCCTTGACATAATTTAATATGCACGTATATATATATATATATATGTTCTTAAAGATATCACAAAAATATTCTAAGCCGTGGCTAAAAAATATTCTAGGCCGAAATACGGCATCGCCGCTTAGAGTGTTAAAGCGTGCAAACGTTATGTGAAATGGCAAAATTATTACTGGAAGCCTATTGGTCCATTCTAGAAGCCCCTCCCTCGGTGGCGATGCAGATATGCACTTACGAAATATGCGTACTGTACACCCGTGAATTCGGATGAAGATGTCGCACCGAGAATCATTGTTGCCGTAAATTAACATAACGCTAAATTAAAACAACACACAAAATTAACACAACGCCAGGAAGAGGATGCGCCAGTCATTCATTCGCTGGTGTGAACTATGAAAAACACGCGTGGCCGCCACTTTGAGCACTTGCTGTGAGTTTTTCTCTGATGAATAAATCAAACTATGTGCGACTATCGTTCATTTTCTCTCCCAATACTGTTATAATTTAGATTTTTTTTATTGTTTAACAGAACTCCGTCTTGGAGTTGTACAATAAAGCTGACATTTGGCCTTGAAAGAGACTAAGAATTAAACTAAACTAATCTTAACTAAAGGAGATATAGCCGAAGCTATCAAGATTCTAACAGAGTTGGCCCCTTGACGTTAATTGATTGCGAAGCTATCAAGGGCCTAAAGTACGGCCGAGCGTAATAATAGCTTACGAGAGAGTAGCCTAAAAGGGCGGACGCGTGCAGCCAGAATATCTGGTATCTCTCTCACTAAAACAGTAGAACTTCGCGACTAAATACCGCTCTTTCTCATTAGCATTTAGACGTGATTCTAAAACTACGTTCTGGCCGGAAGTGATAAGTTGAAATTAAGAAGCGATAAGAAAGGAAATTTAACTCAAAATGTAACTGTTAATAAAATTAGCATAATCCTTACAAGTATATTTAAAATACTTTGATAAATAAAGACTTTTCTTTACTTCTCGGAATTTACTCAGAATAAAGTGTAAAAGGAAACTAGCCAAGAAACATAAAATTGAGAATATCTAACTAAATACCAATATATTTTGCATCAGATTCAAATTATAAAAGGTTTTGTAACCAAAAACATGCATTGTAAAGTTAGTTTTTTTCAAATGGCGTCCCTTCACAATTCGAAAACCCGCCGGAAAACTTCCGTTTTTTCAAATTTCAAAGTTGGTAAATCCGTTGCTTCCCTTCACTGGGTATGGCTTCAGTTGAGGATTAAAGCACCTATAGAATTGATTGACGAAAGCATGTTAACAAAAGGTATCGGATGTTACAGACTAAAAACATACGCGAAGCTGTCTCTTCACATATTTAAAGTGAATTAAACTCTGAAACTTTCCATTTTAAACTTTACAGTATTAACAAAATACAGGTGGAACCTTGGAACATGAACGCCTCACATCCCGAACAATTCGGTTAAAGAAAAAATTTTCCAATCGAAAACGCCTCGGACGACGAACGATGTCTCGAGATATAAACGCCTAAGTCAAGGATAAAGAATTTTTAAAGCTATTTGAAGTTAACCTCCTAGGAAATTCCTGAAACATCATTTTTACATTTTCCATTGCTTACCTCTAACAAAGTCTGGCAGCCAATGTCTTACATTACCATGAATCCGGGCTGGAGGAAATTATGATCAGTTGGTAGTGCAGGTAGAAACTTTGAAGGCTTTGGCAGTAGGAATGTTTTCTATTTTCTACTACGTTGTGTCTTTTAGCTTTGGGTTTGGAAGTTAACAACAAGCACGCGAAGGAACTACAAGAGAATAATGATGCTGTAGCATGAATGAATTCAACAAGAAATTACTGCAACAACTTCCGAAGCAGTAAAAATAGAGTGAATATTAGTGAATGAAATTGCTTTGAGAGGAAAAGGAAAGAAAATAAGCTGATCCTAGTTCCGCGAAAATGTTGCAAAAGGGGGTAAGATGAAAAGTTTTCACTTAATTATTCGATCCTGATAAAGCAGTAATACTCTATAATATATGCATTTTCAAAAACATGGCTCACCTAAGGAACATAATAAAAAGTAGACAACAACAAATCACATGGGATGAAATTTTAGTGAAACAGAGGCCCAGAGAGGGTGAAGCACAGTCGAGTGGCGCTAAGACACAAAATAATAATAACAAATAAATAAATAAAATAAAATAAAAAGTTCCCAGGATGTCAATTATATGATGTTTTATGAAGACTCATCAAAGCAATAACATCTTTTCCTCATCACTTTCTAGTTATGTCATTCATTTCCTCTTCGATCAGTTATGGTACAATTAAATTTCGTTTTCGTCTGTTTTATCCGTTTTACGTTGGACTTATCTTTTTCATCTTAAATTTATTGTTTTTACTAGTTTTGTGTGACGAACTTGTAAACGGAAAACTGTCTTAATGCTAAATTCTGGCTCTGTGTAGACAGCCATGCGACATATCGCCCGTCTTAGTCTTCCAGTGAAAACGTTTTTCTTCTCTCTTTATTTCTTTTTAATTTAAATTTAGCAATTTACCCGAGTCGTGTGATTAATAGAACAAGTCACAGAGTTGGGCGGAATTTAACAAAACATAAAAGGTAAATCAATTAAAATATTAAATCATGCAGAAAAGTCTGACTTCCTAATCATGCGAGCAAAAGACGGCTATAAAAAAGCTGAAGTCGATTCCGGCAAAGCTACAAGCTGGGCGAAAACAGTTCGGAGAAGCTCAGGGGTCGTTGCTAAAAGCTCTCTTTCTTAATGACAAAGGCCATTCTTATACGCGTTAAGTAATTTGCATCCTGGTGGGAGCTAAAGAAAGTAGAAATAATATCGAAAATAAAAATAATAAGATAATGGGTTTAATAGACATAAAACCCTACAAAAGGTTCTTTGTCCAGACGGTAACATTTCTTCTCTTCCTCTTTCTTATCACTCATGTTGCTCATTCTTCTTTATGCTCCACCAGTGACATAGTTAAAACGATTGAATATTGGGAATTCAACTCGGATTCGATACCAGGCGAAAAGGCTGGTTGCACGGTTTGTTTTCGATGTTTTATTCCCTTAAAATGTCCTCTACGAAGGTATCCTTTCTCTTAGACAAAAAATAATCCTCGTGTGCTTTGCCATATTCCAATAACTTAAACAATCCCCTTCGCCCATGAACATTAAAATTAAATTACATTTTCGTTTATTTTATCTGTTTAACTTTGCGTTTATTTATTTTGCCCTAAATTAGTGTTTCCATTGATTCTGTGCGATGTACTTGCTCAAAAATTACTTCCTGTTGTAAAGTTTTAAATAAACAATCATCTGTAGTCCAGGAATGAATTAATCCATTCTGCATAAATTCGTATGGAGGAAATATTTTTGTTTTACGAAGTTTTCGAATGATGAACGGCCTTGAAGAAAGAGTAAATTCGTGAACTGAGGTTTCACTGTATTTTTAAGGTATACGTACTTTACAAGCATTTTGAGGGGATATATCTTACCATTCCAAATTCGATCTCAAAGTCTTAACAGCAGCATCGTCAGACAATGTGAAATCCTTCAAACCACAACACGAAATTTTTAGGTGTGCAATAATTTTATTTTATTTACTTTTCATCGTAGGTTTTACACTCATCGTCTTTATTTATATCCGTACTGAACAGCATGTCTGTCACCTTGTCCAAAATGGCATCTCTTAACTTGGCTGGCATGACTCCAAGCAAGAAATAACAAAGCCTGTGCAAAAGCGTTGCTGAAATATACCGGTCCGCTGGGCTTTCATTTAAGATCGCATCCTTTAGATCTCCCAGTATGGGAGAGTGCTCAAAGGAATCTGGGCTCGTTAGGCCATAGTTCTTGAGAGTTATATTATGGTACTTGTGGAAAAAGGAACCATAGCGTTGCCTATCTTCTTCGGACATAGCATCCCACATTTCTTGAGCATTTGCTTGGTGTCGGGACATAATGCTCGTGAGTCTTGCTAAGTCGCCTGGTTGCACGACGATTACCCGAATACCGTGATGCCTACGAAGTTCTAACCTCAGTGCATTGTTCAGTCCCTCCAAAGCAAATTTAGTGGCACTGTACACGCTGAGTCCAGGATAGGCTATGGAACCATTGATGCTGGTGATGGTTATGACTCTACCTATTGAAGAGAAGAAAGAAACATACATGCAAAAACATAAAAGGTATGTCCACAGTTTCCAACTTTTGCGGTTTTACAACATAGCTCTCGGTAGATGGCCAGATCTTAAGGGTTTTAATATTTTAGCCTTTAATGAGGAAAATATTTCCCAGCGGTTTAGGAAATTATTCAGTTAATAAAAAACTAAATTAAATAGTGATTTTTAGCATACTTTTTCTTATTCAATTTTATTTATATTCGATTATTCTTATTTTATTTGATTTTAATTAAATCTACTGTAGACATTTGTAATACTTCTTATGAAGAATCAAGCAATGTTTATTCAGTACTTAATTTTATTTTACATCAGCGTGCGGTACATTAATGAGTTTGTTTTGTACATTAATAATTTTTATGTACATCCATAATGAATTTTATTTGCAGTATATTTAAAAGTACTTTAAATAAAAATAAAAGCTTACTTCCTTACTCATGATTTTTCCGTATAGGAGTATAAAAAAATTAGAAAACGGAATAACCCAAAGAATGTAAAAATTTAGAATATATAATCAACTCTTCATGTGAATCGTATCGTAAATAGTTCAATAACCTAAATCATGTATTATAAAGTGAATTTAAGTTCATATGGAGTTCTTTTGAAACAGCATCACCGTATAGCATGAAAATCTCCCTGAAGCTCTTGGTTTTTGTACGAATACCTCCCGCTTTTTTCATATTTCAAGGTTGACAGCTATGTTCCCCAAAAAGAACTTGCCTTTTTTCTGTTATAGGTCAACAAGTGCCAAATAATTTGTAAACACCTTATTTAATTCTAAGCAATTATTTTTAGTTTAAAAAAGCTTTCCTTTCCCTTCTGAATTCGTCTTCCTGCCAGAATGTAAATTTAATGGCGTATATGCAAATTTAAATGAGTTGGAAACAGTATTTAAGCAGCAGTTTTAAGAGTTCGCGGTAGGAGAGTTAGTTCTGAATTTATGCCGCGTTGCTTGGTTTACTAACTCTGCAGTTGAATAGTTGTTGGTAGCCACTTTCTTTAGATATATTGATATTTTAGGCACGGCTTTGTTGTATGCAGCCGATTTAGCAGTTTACATAAAATATGAGCCAGTCGGGTAGCTAAACTTTAATTTATTGTGAAAGGGAGAGAGATGGAAATTGTCATCTTCTGAACCTCATGTACGTTTTCAGGCTACAGGTCCTTCCTCAGAATTGCGCTTTTCTTAATCTAGGCTCTAAAATTGTCATCAGGGGACCATGGGAGTGATTTTTCGTTTCGTGCTTTCCTTTTTCATCCTATGGTCAAAATCGTCTTTTTCCTACGGAGGAAGAAATAAGAGATCCTTTTTTAACTCCACGGGGCCCACAAGCAACCAACAGGTAAAATCGTTGAACACCGATAGTTCGGTCCGAGGTTTGAATCCCGCGAACGGGCTCGCTGCACGGGCCTTTTCGTGGTTTCCGCATGTGTAACATGTATTATTACTATTTACATTTTTCGCCCTAAGCCACTGCACGGAAAGGAGGGATGCTTTCGTGGAGGACTTTGTAAGGGAAACTGGCTCGTATTAACACGTTATACATGGGGAAAACCACTAACAGCGAACTGCATCCATGAAGTTGGAAAGATGGTTTCGTTATACGTGTTTGGATATAATAATGAATACGAGGACTATCCGTCCAAAAGGAGAGATGCTTTCGTGGGGGTTCTTCTAAGAGAAACTGATTGGTATATTCCTGTAACAAATAGAGAAAACCACGAAAACTAACCATGCAAGTAGCCCATTTGTCGGCTTTCAAACCCGGAAAAACTATCAGCATTCTTACTGAGCTCTATTTAGTCTCTAACCGCTCGGACACTGGATAAGTCAAGAAAATTTAAGAACGAAGAATTTGAGAAAATTTTTCAGAAAAACTTTGTAAACAGAAAAGAAATAATGTTCAATTTTAATATTAACAATAGCATAAAACTAATGTAGTTAACGAAGTATTTCATGCAGATTAATACTATTCTGAGCACATCAAAAGTAATATCATTTAATTCCCTTTAGAATGTAATATTGTTAAAAAAATGTAATCTTCCAAATAGTTAGGACTTGAAATATTGTAGAAACATAAAACACTTGTAAACATTTATACTTTTTAAGTAATTGCTGAATGTTTACCGCCGAACGCGTTAAAACCCATTAGTAAATCATTTAATGGCAAAAACTCAATGCTCTGATAAACAAGAGCAGTATATTAATCCTTCAAACAAGGTGAACGGGAAAAACCAGTCAAGGTCTCTCCTTTTATTCCTTCCTCCTCATAATTTCATCCTCTTCTATCACCCACCCCATTCATCAGTAACCCCTACTAACAAAATATTCCCGTTTCGTCCGCTGCTCCCATCAGGGCTGAATTTGATGATGGAAGCCTGAATTCTCCCAATTTCAAAAAGTTGTTGTTGATAAGATCGTTTGTTGAGGCAAGAATCACTACGTAAATGCCAACTGGTTTATTACACTTTACAATCTGATCAATGCACCACTTTCTGTGAAGTAATTTCAGAACGAAATTGGCGTGAATGCAATTCTGTTTTCAATCATGTGTAATTATTCCGAATTTTCATTCATCTCCGTTTAAAACGTGATTGTGAGTTTATCGAAACTTGAGTTTATTGAAACCCTATGTGGTCATCCAGTTGTAATATTCGAAGGCAGATCGTACACATATAAAAGAAATTTTTAAAATAACAATAAATGCTAGATTTGCCGAGAAACTCAATGCAACGGAATTTTATTTACAAATTCTGAAAATGATGTATTGCGAGAAGGAAACACCTGCATTCCTAGAATAGCTAAGATAGAGAAATATGTCACAAAGTAAAAAAAAAAAAAAAAAAAAAAAGGATTCGTGACAAACTTACTCCAGTTCAGAAAACTGTTGAATATTCCAAATCTGTTGAATGCACATGGACATGCATCAGTTATATACAATGAAAAATACACAGAGAATAATTAAGATTATATAACAGTTTTTCTGATAGAAAAAATGTCAGTTATCTTCCTGTTTAATATTTCTTAGTATTAAGAGCCTTTTATAAACATATATATATAATCAAATGAATGAAATGGGAATATTCTTATCAAAATTTCTAATAAAAATAAAATTAAAACTAAGAATTACAATTGGAAGACAACATAAGATAACATTCCAATCTACAAAGTCGTAAAGATCACTTTGCCTAAGCTATTTTAATCGACAAAATAGGTTTTCTCTTTATTTGTAAACTGTCTTTTCGAACAGCGGAGGAAGCAGAAAAAAAAGTATCGATGAAGGAAGCAGCAGACAAAATGGAAGTATTTCGAGCTGGCGATGAAATAGGAAAAGACAAAACGACAGTACGCCGACCATTAGTAGTCAAAATATATGACCCCATGTGTATAAATTTCTCCGTAAAATTTCTCTCCGCTCTGCGTTTAACAATCTGCCTTTTCTCGTTAGCGAGATTCTTTCTCAATTCTAGTATACAGAATTTTTTTATTTACATTACAATGGCTCTCAAACATAAGATTGGTTTTGCTACCAGTACTTCTAAACTCTACAGAAGTCGTGGTATTTTATCTATTAGTGAGAAAGAATTTATTATTTTTGAGAATAAATTTTGCATTATCCTATTAACATTACAGTACATGAAGGGACATAATTCAGAGTATATTTTACTATTATTTATTAATAACGATGTTACCGTTAATGCATGAAACGCCGGCATTCTATAGAATAAAGTAGTAAATATAAGTGTTTTTTTATATACTTTTCTTAGGCGTTGTATACCTAGGCGTTATATAGAATGATAAATGCTATTTAAGCAGCCTGTATTAAAAAAGATCACGGCTTAAATAAGGCTATTATTTAAAGACGTGCATTTCACAAAAATAAAGATGCTACTTTGAAAAAACAATGAAAATTTTTGTTCAAAATAAAATAAAAAAAACTGTCATTCAACATTAAAAATAATTATTCAAAATACATAAAGAAAAATGAAAACTGTGTAAAACAAAATTTATGCCTTTCTTAATTAAAAAAAATCATGTAAAAAGAAATTAAAATTAACTTACTTGTTGCAACATGGAAGACTTAAATGGAATTTTGAATTACACATCATTATTTTTTTCACGGAAAGACATTTCATATTTTGAGACTTTCCCTTACACTTGACGAATTTTTGGCCGCTTGCACTAGTCTGAACAATTACAACTGATCGAAAATGAATTTCGTGGTCAGGAATATTTCAGTGCTAAGCAAATTCTTACGCCATAAAGTGAGTTGTGATCTCGCATACAATAGTTTTAAAATTCCTTCATAAGTTTTCAGTCAGTAGAAACCTGTGATAATCTTTACAATTGCCAACAAATTGTGCGAATCACCTCATCCCTTGTCCACGTCAGGAATAGAAATTGGCACAGTAGTTTCCCAAAGAAGTAGCGAGAAATTTTTCTCCGAATTCATTTTAATTTTTTTTTTTTTTCCTGTTTCATACTTCACCGATTTGTCATTTTGTCATTCAATAGAATGCCTAGGAAATGTGTGAAATGTTAATTGTTTCATACATTGCCGGCCAATTTTCGGCATTCTATAAAATACCTATAGTTATTCTATAGAGTTCCAGCTTTCATACATTGCCGATAATAAAGATAATATATTACAATGTCAAATTCATCAATTTAATTTCGCCGAATTTATACATGTTATATGGATGTCTTGTTCTACATATCCTTCGCTGTCATTCATGGTACGTCCTTCAAGGAATTACCTTGGATACGGGAATATACTGTACCCATCAACAGTGCTCGTTGGTCATCTTAATGTCTAATCTGACCATTTGTCGGTCAGATTGAACCTTTGTTGTTAAGTAAAGGTGTGTAATAGAAATCCCATATTAAATTTAAAAAAATTACCATAAATAAGTTATATTAATTATAGTACCATAAATAGGTTATACTATATTAATTGTTGTTACC